CCATGCCACCCTGGAGCACGGAGCAGAGCTGCCGGCACAGCGCAGAACGAGGGAGGCACAGCCCCAGGGCCTCCCACTCACCAGACAGCACTGCCCACCCCCATGGACCTTCAAGCCCTGGCACGAGGGGTGCCACGGGGCCCTGACTCAGAGCACCCACTGACTCACAGCATCTCCATGGCATCACACCAGGGCCACTGCAACCACTTGCTGGCACTGGCACCCCAAGGGTGCCATCGGGGAGAACACAAAGATAGCAGCCAGAGCCCCCATGGCACGTGGGCTGTGGGAGGGTGGCTGCTGCCCCACAGGAAAGCATCCCCAAAATGCCTGGCACCACTGAGCACACCGACAGCAACTCACCTCCCAGCTACTGGATCACCCCGCAGGCAGACAGATGGACAGAAGGACGATCGGAGGGATGGATGGCAGGCCCCAGCCCCGTGCTCAGCCACAGCCACTGTGGGTGCCAGTGGCTCTAGGCTGGCAGAAGGGCTGTGGCAAAGGCCAGGCAAGGCCAGGGCGAGTGTGGCAGCTCAGACGCCGAGCATGGCACATCCCAGCTCGCTGCTGACTCGTTGGCACAAATGTCTCAGTGGGGGCGGAGTGCCACCACGGGGAGGGAGGCACAGAGCGGGGGACAGCCGGCCACGAACGCTGTGGCTGCCCGGGTGTGCGTGCACAGCACACGGCACGGCCACCCACCGACCCACCGACCGCCTGCGCACAGGGCACGGCAACAAGGTCTCCATTGAGCACAACGGGAAGGGGGGAGCCGGGGGCCGGCGTTACCCACACTCCTGGAGAGGCCGGCTCCCGGCTCCCGGCGCTGCACCGCAGGCGTGGCAGCCGGCACAGCTCCCAAGGCCCGGCAGCCCTGGCTAGGTGCCGGCACAAACAGTCTGGCCAGTGGCTCTCAGGGTGGAATTGGGGACGGGCAGAGCCGGGGAATAGAAAGGAGGATGAAAACGGGGCTGGGGAGATGGAGCAACCAAGCTCCCTGCACCG